ATTCAAAGTTAATGGCCACTGGTGATGACTTTANGGTATTGTTTATGTCATTGTTTTGACAAAAAAAAAAAAAAGGGAAATGTTCATATTGTTAAGGAGTTCTTATGCTAATATATACTTATAACTTATGCTAATAAATTACAAATAAAATAGCATAAAAATTCAGTTAGAAAAATTATAATATAATTATGTATAATAAATAATCTGATTATTTTATTGTATATTTTATTTTAAATAGAAATTCATTTTTACAATGAAATAACACTTTTAATGTATTAATTTTTTATGATTAAATTTTATTAGTCACTGTGCCACTCTTATGGAGGACATAGTAGTCACGTGACCAATGTGGCCTTTTTGCATGACGATTCCAGACTGATTACAATTGGTGGTAAAGATATGAGTGTAATTCAATGGGCTATTATTTAAATTGATTTAATTTTCATTAGTACTCATATAATTATTGTATTTTTCAATGTTTAATTACTATCACAAAGTGTATAATAAATATTTTATTAAATTACAATAAATTATATCACAATATTTATATATTAAGTATGAATATCGAGTTGCGTCCAATATGAGTATTATACATATTATTATTGAAAACCATACATTTAAGTTTTGTTTAATGATTTACTTGTTCTCTTATATTCAGCAAAACTAATTGTTAATTCTTGTTTATGTCTACTTGTATCAATTATTATAATTATTATTATTATTGTACTGTAACCTTTCTTTTAATAAAATCAACATAATTTATTATTTTTAAATATAACAACAATTTTTTTGATTAATGCCACACATTTTATTAAGAAAATATTTGAACTAGGGCTATTAAATAATAGCACTAAAACTTGTTTTTTTATGCGCTATAATGAATGGTGTAGAGGGTATACAATATATACTCGCAAATAATTTTTTTGGCCAACTTATAGCTTAGAAAAATAACATTTCTGTACTATATGTCTTAAAGAGTATATGATCACAAATCAGCATATAAAAATTTAACAAAAAAGGTTTTTTCAGAAATACCACTGGACTAACAAACTCTTAAAAATATTGATACTTGATAGTCACTGCAAAATGTGACACAATAAAAAAAAAATCAAAGATAAAATTGATATTTGATAAATTTTTATAAAAACTCATTTAATAAAGAAAATTATAATAAAAATAATGTTTAAAGGATAACCATACTTTAATTCATACATTTTTATGAAATAGTAGATGAAGTAGTGCACTTATTAAATCACACTTTATAACTTAACTAAGCTATGGTATGTCAACTTACACCATTAAAAAATTCAACTTGTCCTGTACCTTGGCAAGATCTTGAACTTGACAATTTATTAGTAATTCTTAAGTTAAATAATTATATTTTACCATAAAGTCTCAATATATATGAAGTAGAACTTCTAACAAATTTTAAGTTATGATAAATACTTCTATAAGAGATTCAATTAAAGCTTATGAAAATTCTTTATACTTTTTTATTTTGAAAAAATCCAAAATTTGGAGTTCGGCTCTTATTTTAAATGTATGAATTAAAGTATGGATATCTTATAAAGATTATTTTTATTTAAATTTTCTTTATTAAATGACTTTTTATAAAAATTTATTAAATATCAATTTTATCTTTTATTTATTTTTTATTGTGTCCCATTTTGCAGTGAATATCACACTTTATTATTTTAAAGGTGTGTAAGAACATTTATTACTATGTTCTTACCACTTATATTACACACGTTTTATTTCCATATACTTAATTCGTAATACATATAATTTAGCAGAGGAAGATACTAAAGTGACAATTCTACTCGTTTGTAGCCCGGAGATACTGTCGTCGAACTAACAAAGGGCAGTTGTGTTTGAGTGGCCGTTATAGACATAGTTTTCAATATTATTACTTTCATCTTATTTATATTATTTATAACTTAACTTGTTTTATTCAACGACCCGTCTATCGCCAATTGTCATCATAGCCAACCAACTCCGTCTCACTTGGATATACCTACTAACCAACTGTACTAGGATTCAGGTCAGACGTATTGTACATTACATATAACTTATACTTACTGAACATCTAAAATATAACTTTACTTTGTCATTGACATAAAACAATAGTCTAATTTTATTTAATAATCTATCCCCTATAACTAAGGTACACGATTGCCTGTGTCTCCTTCAGGCAATTAAAACTCATTTAAGGAAATAGAGACGATATTTGGGCAGACGTCGGGTAGCTTCCGATTCTTGGTTTTGACCAAGATCCTCAATTATTAAACAAACCCCTGTAACCAAGAACAGCAACCAACGTTAGTACGAAATCAATACTTATATTTTATTTGTCTTTATCTTTCTTTTTGTACACCGTAACTATTCTAACTATCTGTTTAATATTTTAATTTAACTCCACGAATCGATAATTCTAAATTGTGTCGTCTACGTTATTACAAACGCAGCCCCGCAACAAAATAATTATTTGATTTTATTCTTGTCATTGGTAAAAATTTTTCCAGTTCTCGATTTACAATAAAAGATTTCGTTTATACTAATCAGCTACAATGTTTCAAATAGACTATGACACTAAATCTAGACATTACTCTATATATTAAAAAAAATCTAAAATGGTATGTTATGATGATAAAAANTTCTAGACATTACTCTGTATATTAAAAAAAATCTAAAATGGTATGTTATGATGATAAAAATGTGTCTGAAAAATGATGGATAAATAATGAAAATGGGGCTAACTTTACTTAATTATTCTAAAAAAGGATAGCGCATCTGTTAAACAGTCTAAATAATCCACCAAGGGAAAGATATTGTTGGATAATACTAACAAAATATTGTAATCAGTTATATATAAAGAAAATTTGTTGAATTTGTCATTTGATAAAACTGATGACGACTAACAAATCCGGATGGATTATTTTATGGATCAAATTTAAAATAACCCAAGATCATAGTTTAAAAAATGATCAATACTGTAATAAATTACCAAAATAAAGATAAAATACAACAGGTCATACAAAGAATTTATTTATTTCATTCACTTGTAGAACCTAACTTTCATACAATGTATACTATACAAATATCAGAAAATAGTTATTTTATGTGTCTGTACGATGATAATATTTTTAACAACATTATGATTGATATTTATTTGGCTAAAGACTATAAAAAACAGGCAGGATTTATAATTTTAGAGTTTAATAAAAAAACAGAAATTAGATATAATTTTGAAAAAATAATTCAGTCATTACGCCATGGCATGCTGAATTGTCAAATTTAATTCATGGATTTCATTAATTTCAAACTTCAAGAGTATTACATATTAGACCCAATGAATCCAACTAAAAATTCAAAATACAATCAGCAATAGTTTCTAAAATTGAAAAAACATTGTGCTAAAGCTAAAAAGAAAACATTCCTCAAGTATCCTTGATACAATGTAGAACTAAAAACATGGCATGCTGAATAATCAAATGCAATTCATGGATTACATTAATTTAAAAATTAAAGAGTATTACATATTAGACCCAATGAATCCGTTACAAACGCAGTCCCGCAACAAAATGATTATTTGATTTTATTCTCGTCATTATTCAGTTCTAGTTGGGTAAATAGTCAATGTGTAATTAATAAATAAATTGATAAGAATTTTTCCAATTCTCAATTTAAAATAAAAGATTTTATCATACTTATTTACTTATAGATATTAGTTGGTTGAAAATAAATAAATACCATAGATACCTTGTGTATTTTTACTAATTGTGTTGATTTCCGCTCTGCTATAAAATCATCTGTGATAGTAATATNCTCTGCTATAAAATCATCTGTGACCTGTAATAAATAGTAGATAAAATTCAAATCTTATTTATTGTACTTTAATACTTGTTGAATACTTTAAATTAAATGGCAAATTTTATAAACCGCTATTGCAGAAATTTAAAGACGAAGCTTGGCTTCAAAAATAAGAAGAGAGGTAACTATGCATATTTGAACGATTGTTAAATTGATAATCTTTATAAATAATTAGTTTTCTACAAAAGATAGTGTCGTACGTCGGTAGTGTCCCAACGTAGACACAAAAGGTTTACACAAATTAATTAATGTTTTTTTTATATATATATATATATATTGACGACGAGTTCGTCGTTTAAGCTCTTCTCGAGTCCTCCCGTTGGATAAACTGCTCAGCCCCAATCCCTCAAATTAGTGAACTACCAAAGGGGTAGAGTTTAGAACCGTCAGCTCGGTCTAGCTCAAAAGTAGCAGACTGAAGTGTGGCTCCTTGTCAGCCACCAGAACAACTACTTTTTTCACTATTCCTACTAAAGAACGGTTAAATCCAAAAACTAGCCAGTTCGTACAATAATTATTAAGATTAACTAAAGGACCAGTAGTCCAACCTCGACTCTTGCCGCACACACAAATTTTAATATCACGTCGGATATAAAGTATTTGCTCTCAAGTAGAGCTTTTTAAATAATTATTTTATTTAAATAACGTAAAAACACAAAGTCAAATATATTATAAAAATTTAACACAAAATTAATTAAGTCTTACAAAAATACAAAGTTATTCGCACACCTACGACCTGACCCGTAACTCGACGTTTCTTCATCAAAAAGTCCAGTCTCGTCCAGTCCTCCTATACTTTTCATGTTTCACATTTATATTCTTTTCCCCGTCATTATTAATTTATTATTATACCCTGTATTTCCCTTTTATATGGAATTATTATATTGCTTAAAAGATCAAAAATTGCTTACTACTATTGTAAAGCTTATATTATACTAAAATCGAAGTAATTCAATACTTACTCAGTTATTAACAACAATAGCAGACTTAATTTTTTTACAATACTTTATTTAGCCACCTTGATAGATAGTGAATTACCGACACTTATATCGACAGAAGATATAACATCTCAAAGCTCAATATTGTCTTCTGATATATATAGTCAGACCAGCGCTGAAGCTCAGTTTATTATGTCTGAAACGCAAACGGATGAATCATCATTCAATTCAACTACAAATTGCAATAAACCTATTGCTATAACAGGTCAACATTTTAATTTACTTTTTTAAAATACTTACAATTTTATTAAATTATTAACAAAATTATTTGTGTGTCGACCCCCTTGTGTTGGGTTTTTATAATATTATTTCTATAAATATTAGTATAATAATTTTTATTAATAATATTTTTCAGTACATTATTACTCAAAATTAAATAAACTAGAGGGAACCACTCGAGTTATATCATCAAATTTCAATGAACAAGTTATTCACGTCGATGGGCTCACCCAGACTAACACTGCCGTTGAATTTAATGTATCAGATACGCAAATTTCAATTGTCGTCCATGCAAAGATTGCTACACAGAACTCTCTATTATCATGCGAACAATGTACACAAACCAACGAATTATCTACAGTTAATGAGTCTGTTACCCAAACAGATGAATCGACATTAAATGTCGTATACACAGAGACCGGTACACAGAGTTCTGTGTTATTAAGCGAACAATGTACACAGATCAACTCCATTGCCGAGGGAATTGAGTGCGTCACCCAAACAGATGAATCGTCATTAAATGTCGTATACACAGAGACCGGTATACAGAGTTCTGTGTTATTAAGCGAACAATGTACACAGATCAACTATATTGCCGAGGGAATCGAGTGCATCACCCAAACAGATGAATCGACATTAAATGTCGTATACACAGAGACCGGTATACAGAGTTCTGTGTTATCAAGCGAACAATGTACACAGATCAACTATATTGCCGAGGGAATCGAGTGCATCACCCAAACAGATGAATCGACATTAAATGTCGTATACACAGAGACCGGTACACAGAGTTCTGTGTTATCAAGCGAACAATGTACACAGATCAACTCCATTGCCGAGGGAATCGAGTGCGTCACCCAAACAGATGTATCTTCATTAAATGTCGTATACACAGAGACCGGTATACAGAGTTCTGTGTTATCAAGCGAACAATGTACACAGCTCAACTCCATTGCAGAAATAATTGAGTCTGTTACGCAAATGAATGAATTACCTTTGGATTTAACTGTAAATTACAAGTCTACAGGGACTCAGTGTTCTTTATTGTCATCTGTTAAAAGTTCTCTTTTGGAAACTGTAGATGTCCTTGAAAAAAGCGAAGTGCAAACTTGTTACAATAATCAGGTTTATAGACCAAAAATTTATAGTCTGCGGTGGGATTTACCTGAACGAAAGCTAATAATTAATCTAGTCTATACTTTCAAAGTGCTTCGTTTTTCAAAAGATTATTTTTATATGGCAAATGTTAATGATGAGCATGAAATGAGTATTTTAAAAAATAAAATGAATCTGTTTTACACTCTAAATGATACAGATATACAGTTCTATAAACCACAATATGATGAGCTTTGTGCCATTACATACGGTAATTATTAACATATAATTAAAAAAGTTTCAAAATTATGAAGTTTCATGGTTCAAGTGTAGTTAATTAATTAATTTTAATAAGTATAAAGCATCATTTAATACGTGTTTTAAACTCTGGATATTTCAATAATTTACCTAATAAATAAACATTTTATTCAAAGCAAAATTTACGAACAATTCCAATTAATAATTCTATTATTTAATTTTTAGGTAACGGTAAATGGTTTAGGGGTATTTGTGACCTGGTCGAAAATGAAGTCGATGTGGATGATGTTTATAATGTTTATTTACTTGATTTAGGGAAACATGTAAAAGTAAAATCTGGTAACATCCGTAAATTACAGCCGGCCTTTATGAAATATGCACCCCTGGCAATTAAATGTTTTTTATTGAGTGCGATGACCTATTATAATTTAACTTAAAAAAAAATTTAAAATTTTGTAATTTTTTAGGTTTCAAGTTCAATGTTGAGAGACAGAATACTTTGTGGAAATTAAAAAACCAATTTTTCTATTGTAAAATATGTGCAAAAGTTGATTTTAATTTTTATGTAATTGAATCTAATAAGTTATTAGATTTAATGACTTCCTGCTAAGTTTTTAAAAAATTTTTTGATCTTTCTTAAAATTAACTAAATAAGGAGTTAATTTCTTAACTATTTTGTTAAATAATTAAATAATTTATGTAATTAAAAATATATTTTTACAGACTTTTTTTTTTTTGTGTTTGTTTTGTCTTTTATTAGTGACGACAATATTTTTTTTATGGCCTTTTAGACCATTTTGTCGTAGAAAAAACTCTCCCACATTCTTTTCTATTTACCGCTGCCTCCTTTCAATCCATGCCTCCATAATCCCCTCCTCTAGCATTTACAAAATAATTTTTGATTCCATCTTCCCAGCGTAGCCTTGGTCTACCCAGTGGTCTTTTGCTTCTTGGTTTTTCTTGGAGCACTCTTCGAACCATTGAATCTTTCTACATACTTGCCCATTCCAACTTACTACGTTTGATCTCTTTACAAATACCTGGTCTATTGAATATCTCCATCAGTTCTTGGTTGTGTCTCTTTCTCCACCCTTGAAAATCTTGATCATATACGGGTCCATATATTTTGCGGAGTACCCTCCTCTCAAAAATATGTAATCTATCCTCCTCCGTCTTTCGTAACGTCCAACATTGTGAACCATACATGATTTTTGGTCGTATGATTGTCAGATACAACTGAGTTTTGACCTCTTTTGAAAGGATTTTAGACCTTAAAAGTTTGCCTAGTGTATAGAAGCATTTATTTCCCATTTTAATTCATTGTTGAATTTCTATTTGACATTCATTTTACTGTGTAACAACAGTTGCCAGGTATTTGAATTCCTCCTTTTTTTGAACTCGTATTGATCCACTGTTATGGTTTCAGTTATAGGAACGTTACCTCGTTCCCTACTAACTTTCGTGTATTGTGTTTTCTCCGTGTTGAGATGTAACTCCGCCTTTTTTGTCGATTCTATTAACTTGTCACATAAGTCTACCACTTTTTGTTCCTCTTTCCCTAGCAGGACTATGTCGTCTGCATAGGCGAGCAGACTAAAACAAGTTCTATCCATTTTTACTCCTTCATCTCTTTCAATATTCATTTCTCGGATCACTTTCTCTAATACTAAATTAAAAAAGATTGGTGATAGGGCATCATTTTGTCTAAGTCCGGTTTTTACCTCCACTATCTTTGATGTAGCGTTTCCTACTTTTACTTTAACTTTAGTTTGTTTTAAACTAGCTTCAATTAAATGTACTATTTTTCTTGGGAAATGGAAATACTTCAAAATTTCGGTTATGCTAGTTCTATCTATACTGTCATACGCCTTTTGAAAATCTACAAAGATTATATGGAGTTCCTTATTGTATTTCCAGTTTTTCTAGAATAGCTGTCTGATTATAAATATCTGGTCCGTCGTTGACCTGTTTTGCCTGAATTCACATTGATAGTCCCCCACCACTTCTTCGGCCAGAGGTTTGATTCTATCCAGGATGCAATATGATAATATATTATAAGTTTTATCTAGCAGCGCTATTCCTCTATACTTACTACAGATTTGCTTGTCGCCTTTTTTATAGATTGGGTATATCAGAGTGATTTTTTTATCATAACCCACTCAATTACTTACAGAGTAATAATAATTTAAACATTTTTTTTTAGTTATCTTTAGTTACATATTATTTTTAAATTATTAACTATTTAAAACTTTTTGTGTTCATCCCTTATGACTTGTAAGGGTGTCAACTTTATTTTTTGTTTTTAAATGAGAACATATATTTTGAATTTAATAGAATGTTTGGATTTTTAATTTAATAGTAAATGGCATTTGAATTTTTAGTATAACTTTATTAGTGTATTAGATATAAACATTTAATGATTCAAATTTTTGAGTTAATATACATGTATAAAACACAAGGGATTATAAATATAGGTAGCTAATTGAATGGACATTGCTGTCACAGTCACGGATAGTTTATTATCAATTATGACTATCAATAGATATACTTTCTGTATTGTCGGTTAGTGTATTTATAAGTTCACAACAATGTGCCTTACTACGATTGATAATAACAATGCTGTGTACCTGCTAATATCGATGTCATAAAAAACCAATTAGTACAATTTTAATAAGTTTAACTTTATGTTAATATTTAAATAATATTTATGAAAATCAGTGTACTTTCCTTTTTGGGTATGTTAAAATAATTTAAGATACAAAACTCAGAATTTTGACACTTTTCTAAGGGCATGTTTAATTATTTTCCATTGTTCATCTACTGTTTCAGGATTTGAGTTAACTTTTTGTATGTTTTCTTGAAACTCTCTAACTTTCCTATTATCCTTGAGTTTCTCTACATCATACCTGATTATTTCCGATTTCATTTTCTTACTCTTTGTTTTTAGCTTAACCCTAAGGTTGCTAAAAAATGGTCGGAGTCGCAGTCAGCTCCTCTGTATGTTCTTACATTCTTTATGTTGTTGGCGAATCTTTCATTTACCAATATATGGTCTATTTGATTTGAGTACCTACCATCAGGTGATATCCACGTACCTTAATGTATGTTTTTATGCGGGAACATTGTACTCTTTACTCTAAGACCTTTTCCTATGGCTAACTCTACTACTTTTGTTATATTGTCATTAATTATGTCATGCAAACTGTGGATACCAATAGTTGGTCTGAATGATCTCTCTTTCCCTATTTTGGCGTTCATATCTCCTAGTACAATTTTTATTTGGCTATTACTTATCCCTTCTAGTAGTAGTTCTATCTCAATATATAAATCTTCTTTTTCTTGTTGCGTTTTGTTCTCCGTGGATGCATGTACGTTATTGAATACGATATCAAAACCACTTAGTCTCTATTTTTAGTAACGCTAGTCTTGGGTTGAATACTCTAACTCTTTTATTGTTGGTACTATATTCATACATACTACAAATCCAACTCCAAATTGTCCTCTTTCATCAAACCCACCAAAAAGGATTGTCAAAATTGAACTGTTCTTTCTAAGTAAAAATTGTTTTCTAACAGTTTTTATTAAGACTTTTTATTGTAGATGCCTAAGACTCTTTGTGTTGTTAGTAATTGTTCTTTTTCATCTTTGAATTCGCATATTTTTATTAATTCTTTCAAATCTGTATCGAATTTATTAAATGGTTCTACTTGATTTTGTTCTCTTTGGAAAAATTTTAATTAGGACATTATTAAGTTTCGCTTTGGTATGCACCGTGTCTCCATTGCGTCAAGTATTGCGCTTACATTATTTTCCTCATTTTGGAAGTATATTTTTCTGGCTTCCAGACCCATCAGTTTCAACAGTTTGGCGACTTGAGTTTCCTTTGTCATTTTAGTCATTTCGTTAGCCGTGAAGTAGATCTCTACTTCTTTCCTAAATAATTTGCAATTGGCTTGTACGCCACCTTCCAATTTCAATTTTTCCGGCCTTTCGTAATCCGTCATTATTACCCATATTATAATATACATATTAATGGATTTATTATTTAAAATACCGATTGCACCATGTTTCGTCTTCAATTAGTGACGATATTAGAATAGTATACAACAAGATATTAAAAAATATTAATTATTAAAAACACGTGTGTGATTAAAAGACTTTATTAAATTAAAATCGTACAAGTAGTTGCGACAACGCAGTTAGATAACACCTAAATAGTATATTGTTATATAATATTATAGTAATATAACAAACTATAGTACGTTATAGCAAATTATTTAATTTGTAAAACGAACAATGTTTAAAAAGAAAATTTAAACAAACTACTTTGAATCTGGTTCAAACAACTATCTGAATGTTTTCAAAGTATATTTTAACAGCCTTATAAAAAAACGAACGATATTGGATTTTCTCCAACTAAAACACCCAAAGGAAGTTTTTTGTTGATAAATTTTGAATTAGCAAATTTAAATTTCATCATAGTGAGTAAAGATGTAAAATTAAGTAGCAACACATTTTAGTTCTATTAATTATTTAGTCTGATAACTGATTGACCTTGTAATGTTACGCTACAGCTTTAGTGCCGTTTGTCAGTTGCAAGAAAGTCTCCTGGACAGTTCTGTTAACTTTTATTCGAAATAATATAATACATTGTATTTTTTATTTAATTATATAGATAATAATGCTTGTATACTCTTTTATGTTACACATCAGTCCAAACGGGAACTCGCAATTTAAATAAGATATTAAAATGCACATTTATTCATTACAAAATATTAAGAATAAATGATCAGTAAACGATCAATATCACTACTCAAGTTGTGACGGATAGTATAAGGTACACCTTCACTGCATGCGTAAATGTCTTTTATTACCGTCTTGCTCACTGTTAAATTAATTATATAATTTCTAATGATTGCAATATTTATTGGCGAAAAGATTACGCACATACACCGCTCCACCGAGTAAGTTTCTTTATTTCTTTTCTATTATCTTCTCCTATTAACTGCCTCCTTGTAAAAGTCCCCTTAACCTTTTTCAACGGTGTTTGTAACAACTCGTTACCAACCGTGATCCAAAGGGTCACTTCCCTCTTCACCTAAAATAAGTAGTTCCTAAAGTAATACTGATATGATAGGTAGTTGTTTAGTATAGATATGTTTGTCTTTTTAAAATAAAACAAAATAAGTTGATTTTTTGAACAAATTGCGTTATGTTTTCGTATTATTGATAAATTTAAGTTAAGAAAAAAAAAAATCAAGAGTACAAATGTAGAAACGTTTCAACCTGTGGTCCTGCAATATAAGAAATTCAACTTCAAAAATACAAATCCATATGTAGGTTAATAATCTAACTATTTTTTAGAAATTACGATGTTATTCGTAGTTGAATTATCATAATGAATTCACCGCTATCATCCTTAGAGTATTTATATGAACTATTCACGCAAATTTTTGTTGCGGATGGATGTTTTGAATGTACAACAAATAATG